GGATTCTGTCCGGTTGGTGAGATATGACCTGAACCAACTGAGAGCAGTGTCATTTAGTCCAGCGGTGAGGTGGAGCCGGTTTAGGAGAATGCCATGGTCGACAGTATCAAATGCAGCAGAAAGGTCGAGGAGGATGAGGAGGGATGAAGAGCCAGCATCGGATAACATGAGGTCGTTTGTGACTCGGACAACAGTGTGTTACTTGTATTTCACTTTTGGGGCTGTGTTGTGCCATTCTGAGTTGAAGTGCACCAAAATGCTACATGTGCTTTTTGAATGACAATGTGTTTACAGTTTTGCACAAAGAGCGATTCCGATTTGCTAGCTGTGTCTAACCACATGAGAAGAGTTTAAAGTTCTACAAACTGTGTGCTTCAATCAATAAAGTGGTTTGTACACTTGCAACTTTGGTTTTGCGAATGGATTTTAGTGTTTTAGCAACTCAGAAATACTGTAATATCTACAGCGTTTAACATAATTAAGTTAAACATTAAGTTGTTTTTTTGCTTCTATTAAATTATTACCTTAATTTCCCCCAATTAATTTATCACAAGCTTCATTTAACTTAGTATTTTTGGAAATCTAATCTAATTCTAATTTTTCCCACATATTTTGTTGCTTTATGTTTTAGTATTTAAAAAGTGTAATGTTCAATCCCGTGTCCAAATTGTAAAACCAAATCTTCTTGTTTTCCTTTTTTATTATGCTGGGTTGCAAACAGGTTATTGATGCTTACCCCACCTACTATACCTTGAAGTGTAACAACAATAGCTTCTACCCACAAAAATTCTCACTACTGTTCATTAGTTTTGTGTTATGCAGATAAACGGATAATGCTTTTCTAATTATTCATCTTTTTCATTTGTCCCCTTGAGTTCCCAATATTCCTTCCAACGTATTTTAATCTTTCCATTCACATAACATATAATTATGTCATACCCTTGGTATCAACATTGCTACTCCTTCTCTTCTTTCTCTCTCACTTAAATTCCTTATTAATACTAAATTCCTTCCTTTTTCATCTTGATTCCACACCTTTTGTTTCAATTTCTTTAATTTTGATAAATGATTTACCCTCCTGTCTTCCAAAAGGAATAATAATAGTTTTATTTAGTTTTGTTTGTGCTTTTTTCTCTTTTTTCTCCTCCCTCTTTCATTGTTATATATGTTTTGAATTGTGTAAATAACGTGTTATTAAAAGTCAAAAGTCTTTCCTTTCTCTCTTTCTCTCCCCTGAATTCTTATCAGTGCTCCCTTTCCGTCTCAATGTCACTTGCATACGTTTTTAATCCATAAATAAGAACCAATAAGGTTTCGTATGTAAGTACCAGGAATCTTTAGGAATC